GGGGCTGCGTCCGGGGGAGCGGGGGGGGTGCAGGCCGGGGTGCGCGCTCCAGGGATCGGGCCCCGGGGGGGTACAGCGGGCTCTCGCCAGCCCGGGGCTGGGCCTCCTTGCAGCCGGGGGGCTGCAGCACACGGCACCGCCAGGCTGCCGGGCTCTGGGGCTTACCCCAAGGCTCCCCAGGCTGTAGGGCGGCTGCTCGCTGTCCCCGAGCCAGGTGACCCCTTCCCTTGGGGTGTGCCCCCTGTCAGGGGCACACGGCCGGTCCCTGTTAGACCCTGTGAGTAGTTTTGCTGAAGTAACGAGGAAACAGAAAGTTGTTATTCTGCAAAGGGACTGACCCTTTGCCAGGACTTCCCTGTAATTCCCACCCTCGGGGCTTTCCAGGGCTGGATGCATCCAGTGCGGCACATGGGCAGGTGCTGTGCCTCCCGCCCAAGCTCTGGTAACCAAGCCCTGCCCCAGAGCACCCAGCGGAGCCCAGCACGAGGCTGGCCATGTCCACTCTAGCTCAGAGAGAAGGAGGAAGAGGATTTTGGGATGGTGGTGACAGGAAACTCAGGGTGGGACCTGTGTGCCAGCAGGGATGGCCAGCGGGAGCCAGGACCGGAGCCTGCGGGAGGAGCTGACGTGTGCCATCTGCTGCGAGCTCTTCAGCGAGCCCGTCATGCTGGACTGCATGCACCACTTCTGCAAGGCCTGCATTCAGGGCTACTGGGAGAGCTGTGCCCGCGTCCCCTCCTGCCCCCAGTGCCGCCGCGAGTTCCCCAGCCGGGCTTTCCGCACCCACTACCTGCTGTCGGGGCTGGTGGAGAAGGTGCGGCGCTGCGGTTCCGCGGAGCACCGGCACAAGATGCAGGTGAGTGGCTTGTGCTCGGTGGGGGGGAGAAGGGGACGGGCACCACGTGAGCACTGTGTGGGCAGCAAGAACCCACCACCCCCTCCTCCTGCAATCGGTTCCCCTACTGGGGAGCCCTGTGTGTGCCTCACCTGGCCCAAGTGCAATGACATCTGTGTCTCTTCCTGATTCATTCCCTCTCCCTATTTCCCTCCAGCTGTCTGTCTTTTGGACACTTTCTTTTCTTGCATTTGTTTCCCTCGCTGCTGTGCCCGACTTCCATCGCAGCCTGGTTGTTTCTCACGTAGGAACCACGCAGCCGGGGGTTAGGGCTGCTTGTGCCGGGCACGTTGCTTGAGGGGCCAGTCCCTGCACAAGTCAGTTCACAGCACACAGGTTTTAAACCTTCTGCAAACAGATATCCCAGGCTGGAGCTCCCAGTCTTAAATTTGTTTCATTCTGTGCACACATATGTAGTTCTCAAGCCTGTGCATCAGGTGCTTTCTTCTCCTTACTGCCTTTATAAGAAATCCTGTTGCAGCCTCCCTCTAAAGCTGGCCTCAGGAATTAGGATTGCTCCTGAATCACAGCACAGTAGTGAAATGGTCTCCTCACCTTCTTTTCCTCATTCCTGCAGAAGCACCTGGAAGATGCTTTGCAAGCCCGTCAGAAGGAGGTGGAGAACTTCTTGCGGAAGAAGCGTGCGACGCAGGAGGATATCTGTGGCCTGACAGTAATGCCCTGTGATAGCTGCTTTTTGTACAGACTCTGGGTTAATGTTCACAGAGGATCTGTATATCACTTCAGCTGAGATTTAGCTCAGCTTCCTGTAAAAATCTAGATGAATAACTAGGTAGGGATCTGAACAAACTCCCCTGCATGTAGGCCAAAGGCCATCATTACTGAATATTCAGTGGAGGCTTTGGGAAGAGGCATTAAGCACTTGTTAATGCAGCGTTTACAGGGTGCGTTGGTGCAGCAGAGCCGAGACAGGGTGAGTGGTGAGAGCTGTTGGCTGAGCAGCCTGTTCTGACCCTGCAGTGCTGCCACTTTGGGAGAGGGTTAATTCTTGGAAGCTCTAAAATCCTCTAGTGTGTCTGAAGGGGTGGCAGCAAATCTGAAGGAGCTGAGTCAGCAGCAATGTTGGTGCTGCGGAGAGCAGTGGCCTTGTCACAAGGGCCACATTTGGATTCACTGCGAAGCTCTGAGATGATGTGAGGAGCCTGAGTGCTCTCTCCAGGCTTGAGAGGCGCCAAGCTGCCTCCTTGTCACTGATCAATGAAGCAAGAACAGCCACAGGCTGACTGCGCTTCCTTCTTGAGTGACGTAAAAGTATTAAAAGCCAAGGAAGGAGGGTTTAAGGAAAACACAAGTAGTTCAGGGGTGAGATAAAACTGATGGGAGCCTGCCTTCTGACCGGAGTCTCTGATCCCCCCCTGCCTGCGCTGTGTTTCATACCTCTATCCCACTGCCAGCTTTGGAATAGACCTTTGAGGTTAATGAAAAAGTGTTAGCAAGTACACGCATGCGGCTGATGTCCCGTTGCAGTGCAAGAGCTGACTTAGACGTGCTTCAAGAGTAAAGGAGCAAATTGCTGATCTGAACATGCATGTCCTCTGCGGTTCTGGTGTGTCAGCACAAGCACCTGCTAGAGCCAAGGGAGGCTGGGGTGCCGTGCCGGCTGGTGAAGCTTCAGATGTACTCTGGGGGAGATGGGTTTCCTGCTGGTAGAAAGGGATGTGCGTTTCAGGAAGCGTTCCTCAAGAAAATAATGAGGGCTAAGGTTGCACTTGGAGATTAAAAGCTTAAAGACCGGGAAAAGAAAAAGTCATTGGCTGTCTCTTGTAAACAGGCAGGAAGGCAGTGAGAGCACCACAACGTTGGCTGGCCGACTAAACAACTGGAAAAAAGTGACCTCTGAAAAGAGCTGAATGGGATTTTATCAGCCTTAACTACAGAGATTAGTCTGTGCAGCTCCCCCGTCTCTCCCATGCAAACAGGAGCCCTGAGAGACGGAGGCATCAGAGAAAAGAGCGAGTTACCAGTGTCAGGCAGCTCTGCCCAGTGATGGGGCATGATGTGAAATAAACCCTAACTAACCTGAACAGCTGAGTCTGCAGCTCCAGAAAAGCAAAAGAGCCCCAGTCTTGCACACAGGCAAATTCCTGGTGGCGTGGGAGAGGGCTGTGGGCTCCCACTGTGGCTGTGTGCAAGAATTTCTAGTTAAGGTGACCAAGCCATTGGTAGAGCTTGGGGGGTTTTTTTCCCCTTTGGCTCTGCAGCCTTGGAAGTTGTCCTTGTGTCCCATTCTCCATCCAAAAAGTCATGCGTACGTCTGAGACTCTGATTTCCAGGACTCTGTAAGCAGATTAACAGGCCCAGCCATACCATGTACCTACTTGTGTGTTTTAGCTGCCAGACTCATTTTCTGCCTTTTCCCTCTGCTCAGAAGGTGTCTGGGGAGCTGAACTTCAAGATCCGTGCAGAGTTTGCCCGCCTTCATCAGATCCTAGAGGAAGAAGAGAGAGCTGTGCTGGCAGAGCTGGGCGAAAAGGAAGAGCAGTCGCTGGCACGGCTGCACGGGGACGTCCACCGGCTGGAGGAGGGGATGTCGGTGCTGCAGAGGGACATAGAGCGCATAGAGCAGATCCTGAGCAAGATGGAAGAGGTGTCGTTGCTGGAGGTGAGCGTGCTTGGCTGACCCTGGCAGGAGGCTGAGGGGTGTTTCAGGATCTGATTTTGGGATGGGGAGACATCACTAGGCTGTACCTGGAAGTCATTCTCACTGCCATCCCTCCGGGTTATCTATCCAATCCCTTGGAGTCTGGAGGCTTTAGCCACAAGGGATATGGTGATCTCTCCGATGTGGTGGGTCTCACAGCCTTCCTCCTTCTCTGTCACCCCTGTGAAATTGCTTTGGCCACAGTGCCCAGGCAGTTTCCCCCAGGGTGGGGGGTCCTGACAGGTTGGTTTCCTCTCTCTCTGCTGCGTGACAGCAGGAGGCAGGACAGGGAGCTTATTTGTGCAGCTGCATGAATTACAGACAGTGACTGCTAATTCTCTCTGCTCCTCACTGCAGGTGGAGAGCCTGGATATCAGGTACGTGTCTGGCATGAAAGAAGCTGATTCCCTTTTCAGGAGCTTATCTCTGTCCCTGGCTGGGACCACACGGGGGAGGGATCTTAAGTTTTAAAAGCATCACAAATTGCTCAGTGAGCTGCTGGTGCTGTGCTAGGTGTGAACTGGTCCCCAGCACGTTGTATGCTCTCCCCAGGGAGCATGCGTGTCGAGACAGCTGGGCTGGAAGAGCAGGTGGAGGAGACGTGCTGGCTTGGAATGGGTGCAAGAGCCATGCATGCTGCAAGCGAGAGCAAGCTGGTGCCACAGACTTTGGGTGCTTTGCCTTCTCCCTGCCCTTTCTTAGCTTCTGACAACTCACAGGGCTGCAAAACTGACCCCAAGGTGCAGGTTTATCTGAGGCTGCAAGTAGCTGAGGGCCAGAACTGCCATAGGGGAGCATGTCCCTGTCCCCTCCCTCCCTGGGGGCTGCAGCCCGGCTCCGCAGGCCTAGCCTGTTCACCCATGCAGGAGTCCTGCTTGGGTGTGCTGGGTGCTGGTCTGCCATGAGTCACCGCTCCACGAGCGGTGCTGCTGGATCTGTCTCGGTCCGCAACACCTCTGCACCGAGCCACTTGCTGCGCTGGGGGTAGCACCGCATCAGGGGGAGCAAGCAGCTGCCAGGGAGGTTTGTGTCCTGTCTTTACCAAATCCATCGCACACAGTAGCATGCTGCAGTCCTGACCACGCTCTTCCCACGTGCCTCGCTAGCAGCACAGCAGAGGAGTTGACTGCCGCTCTCTCTGCCCCAGGCCCTCGGTGCGCGTTGAGACCCAGCCTGCCTTCAACCTGGAGCACTACAGGGACAGCCGCAGCGGCCCCTTGCAGTACATCTTCTGGAGACAGATGCTGCGGTCCATCTGCCCCGGTGAGCGGATTGGTGCGACGGATGGATGTGCCAGGCAGTGGAGTTTGATGGGGGAACCGGGGATGCTCTGCAGAGGGAACATGCAACCGGTAAAACGCTGTGCTCTATATCTCTGCAGCTCCTGCCCCGCTCACCTTCGACCCCGAATCAGCCCACCCCAACCTGGTCTTCTCCAGAGACCTGACAGCAGTGACAGAGAGGAATCGAGCCCAGCCCGTCCCCAGAAGCCCCCGGCGCTTCTGTCAGTGCGTCAATGTCCTGGGCTCACAGACCTTCGACAGCGGCCGGCACTACTGGGAGGTCTGGGTGGGCAGCAAAACCAAGTGGGACCTGGGGGTGGCCGCCGAGGCTGTGGACCGGGCGGCGAGTGGGCAGCAGTGGGACCTGGGGGTGGCCGCCGAGGCTGTGGACCGGGCGGCGAAGGTCAAAGGTCAACCCGGAGAATGGCTACTGGACACTTCGCCTGCGCAACAGGAACAGGTACCTGGACACTTCGCCTGCGCAACAGGGTGGAGTACTGGGCCACCGCCACCCCCTGGGTGCGCCTGACTCCCCGCCGGCCCCCCCGGAAAGTGGGGGTCTTCCTGGACTGCCAGGAGGGCACTGTCACCTTCTTCGATGCCGGGGACATGTCCCACCTCTTCACCTTCCACCAGGTCTCTGCGGAGAGATACTGCCCCTTCTTCAGCACCTGCTTCAGTGACGGGAGGGACAACATGGAGCCCATGCGCCTCTGCCACCTGGCCCTGTGAGGGACAGTGGGGAGCAAGGTGCTTTGGGGACGCCATCCTGGCTCCTTGTCTCTCCCCACAGTGCTACCAGTGGGCTGCCTGGGGCCATGCTGGAGGCTGATCTTGCACACATGGACCTGGTGGGTGTTGGAGGGGCTGTTTTGGTTTCCATTTTGGGAGGGAGGAGGGGCATGCATCTCTTCCCAGCTCCCTCCTGCCCTCCCTTCTCTGTGCTGTAGTCTGCAGCTGCCCCACTGTATCCCCGGAGGTGCCTGGCACCCTTTGAAGAACAACCTTCCATGCCTGAGCGTTGCATTGTTCAGTAACCGCAGCCACAGGGCTGCAGTGGAGGTGGTCGCAGGCTGCTTGTACCTCCTGTCCCTCCATGCTCCCACCCATAAACCCTGTGGAGGAGGGCAGCGGTCCCAGAGCACCATCAGGTGCATCTTGACCCAACTCTGCATCCCAGCAGTGGGCTTCCTCCGCTCGAAGAGCGTCATGGGGAAGGGCTCCCGGCTGGCGGCAGAGGGAGCTCGGTGCACAGCGTGGGACCCACCGCAGCCCAGGGATTGCGGCGCTGCCTGTCCTCAACTCAGTCACCATTAAAGCTCATTAGAAAGACCGCTGCCTGCTGGACTTGTTCATGGCTTGCATGCTGGGGAGGGGGATCTACTGCACTGGGGCGTAGCACAGCCTGGGGGCACACAGCAGCCCGCTGGCCCCTGCGCCAGCCCAGGCTCCTTCCCTCTGCCTGCCGCACAGGAGGCACGAAAGAGCCGCCGCTCTCATTCAGCCCTTCCCTTGGAGCACTCCCTGCACATCTTGCAGTGGCTCGTGGCCTTTTGCTTCGCCTCCTCCTTGTGTCGGGCTGCTCGGGTACAAGGTGTGGGTTTGGCAGCCCTGTGGGGTGGGGAGGTTAGATACAAAGTGCAGGTTTGGCAGCCCTGTGGGGTGGGGAGGTTTGTCTGAGCCCAGCCTTAGGCTCCTGGGTTTTAAGATCCAGTCTCCTCTGGCCTGCCTGGGTCTTAAGGATTTGTATGTGAAAAATGCAAAGTCCCGTTTCAGGCCAATTTCATGGAAAGCCCCAGCAGCCTTCGCTGTCGGGAGCGAGCAGTCCCAGCACGGCGCTTTGCCTGTCAGCCCCACGCTGGCAGCGCTGCCCCTGCAGGAGGGTGGCCTGGGGCTCCTGGGGGGGAGCAAGTCGAGTGGATTTGGCTGCTGCAGTTCGTGCCCGGGGGGGTGCTGGCCACATCCCCAGCTCGCTTGGCCTTGCTCGTGGGTCAGCGGAGTCGACTTGAGGCAGGAGATGCTGGGGTGGGTCTGAGCCTGGCTGGCGGGAGCAATGGGTGGGAGGGAGGATGGCAGTGCTTGGGGTGGGTGGGATTGTCATGTTTATCCCACTCAGGTCCACTCCAGGGACAAAGCAGAGGCCAGAGCTGCCCCGATCCTGCGTAGCCCCCGGTGCTGGCTGGAGCCTGCGAATTCCTCCTCCGCAGAGGCTCAACTTTCTGTGCTGCAGGAAGGGCCGGGCACTAGGGCTTTCCAGCTCCCGCAGCTGGGCACAGGGACACGTGTCAAAGCAAGTCCTTCACTGGTCATCCCCCTGCCCGGCGGGGATGGGACAGGGGGCCCTGTCCTCCCACGGTGCCACGAGGGACATTCCCCCTTACGGTGCACCACCGCTGCAGTGTGCCAGGGCTGGGCTCTGCTGTAGCACCCCGTTTTGGGGTTGCCTAATGCCTGTGCCGGGGCAGGAAAAGACTTTGCGCTCAGCCGGAGGGGAGGATGACCAATGGAAGATGCAGGCAGATGTGCCCTCCTGGGCAGCAGCACCAAGCAGCCTGGGGCTCTGTGGGCATGGGGTGGAGGTGGGTGCAGAGGGTACCCAGTTATTGGGAAGCCACTGCTCTGTGCAGCCTTGCTCAGGGGTTGGGTGTGCTCGGAGGGGCTGTCAGGGGTTTCTGCTCCCTCCCAGTCCCCAGTTGGGCTTTAGCTGGTGAATGAGCTCTGCTCTCCCTGCTGAGCCCCTGGGCTGGACTCTAAGCCTCCTCTCCTGGCTCCTGCCTCTTCCTCTTGCTACCTCCCACCCTCAGCTGAAATAAGAGTGGAGAAGAGCTGTTGACTTGGAAATGCTGCTGTGAGCAGGAAGAGGTCCCTGTCCAAGGGGGCTGTCATCCCCCCTCCAAGGGCTGAGAGCCTCTGCGGGAAGGTGAGCAGAGGGAGCTGTGGCTGGGGGAGCTGAAACCTATCACCTCCCTGACCTGCCCTTGAAACCACAGGCAAGTAAGGCTGACCAGCAGCAGGCAGCCGTCCCCGAAGCGTGAGGGGGAGTGGATCTGCCAGCCGCTGGCAGGCAGCAAGCGCAGCCGGGCTTCGGTGGCTGCCGGCAGGCAGGAGGGTGGCAGCCAGTTCCCGCTGCCCACCGCTGCCGTGTGCCACATGGGCCGGTGTGGCAGCACGGGCTGCGAGCAGCTTGCTGTGATGTGTGCCAGTGCCATTGCTGCCACCTCCTACACCTTCCCTTTGCCAAAGGCAGAGCTGGAGAGCAGCGAAACCTGCTTGTCCCAAATCCCTGGGCTGAGCAGGCTCCCAAGGAAGCACGTCCTTCCTCCTCCTCCTCCTGCCGGGCTGCATGTGCTGGCTGTGGTGTGCCGCTCCCAGGCAGAGATGCATTTTGGGGTAAAATGTCCTCACCTGGCCCTGCCGGCAGGGAAGGGCTCTGGCAGGAAGGCTCGGGCAGGCAGAGCCACTGCCCTGCACGCAGCATGTACAGCGGCTCGGTCGTGCAGGGAAAACGCTGCTCTGAGCTGCCATACGTGCAGCGTTAGCCCGGCGAGGAAATACTGCCTGCTGTTAAATGCTGTCTGAAAAATGCATTTCACTGATAAGCCGTAGCACCATGGAGTAGAAACTGCGGGCGCGGTGGGAATGCAGTGACCGGCTGGGCCTGGCCCTGGGTTCGGGCAGGAGGGGACAGGGATGGGCGAGTGGGCACCACGGAGGTGAAGCACCCCTCTCTGCTCCAGCATCCAGGCTCTGCACCTGCCAGGGCTGGCTCTCACCATCTGCCCCCAGGACCAGGATGTATTTTCCCCGCAGGTTACCTTGTCGTTTTTGTCCCTGGGTGTCCTCAGAGCCACCCCAGTGTGCCTTTCCCATAGCCATGGTCTGGGCAGTGTCCAGCAGCTCCTGCCCTGGTCCCCTGCTGCAATGAGTCTGTGTCTTTATCCTGTGCTTTGGGGAAGCCCTTGCTTCCTCGGGTCTCCCCATGTGCCAGAAGAAGGGCAAGATTCTAAAATAAGGTCCTTTTGTTTCCCAGGGCGGCAACAGTGGAAAGGTCCCATCAGTCCCACAGTCACCCTGTGTTTGCGATGGAAAATTCCCCATCGTGGCGGGGCGAGCCCTCCCCGGCGTCCCACCGTTAGATGGCAGCATGGACGGGCTGGTCCCGGCCACCACCGCCTGCACGGTGCCACATTTGGACTGCAATGGATGGAGGATGCCAAAAGCCCTCGATTTTTGGGGTGCCAGAGGATCCCCCCACACACCCCAGGTCAGACTCTCTGCTCATCTCACACTCAGCCTCTCCAGGCAGCCCTTGGGTCTCGCATTTTCTCCAGCATCTCAGCGGTGTGATGTGATTCATCCCTCCATCACCGTCCACACCTCACCACCTCACTGCTCATCTCTCAGGTGCACGATGACCCCTGATGCTCACAGTGGTCCCCAGCGTGGGTACGCTGCCATGGCGGGGAGCCCCGTGGCTGCCCCATCTCTGATCACGGCTCCCGGCACCGGGGAGGGGTCTGATCCCACAATCTCAGCTCTTCTCCCTGCGGCAGTGGGCAGTGCTGCCCCTCTGTGCGGTCCCCAGCTCTGCCTCATCACCCCATCATCATGGCAAGTTTTAAAAATCTCTCTCCAGAAACCTGCAGGGATTTGGGCACCCACCTGAGACGGAGGCACACCACCGCTTTCCGCTCCTTCGGGATGGAAGAGGGAGGTGGTCCAAGATGAGTGTGCTGAAAAGCAATGCAGCCGGCGCTCTCAGGGTTAAAAAGTCACTAACTGGGCTGGGGGGAGTTGGGTAAAATAACTTCTGTGGCTTGGAGTCCCTCTGACGGCTTCAGGAGAGGCACAGGGTGATTTCTTCCACGGGTTTGGCAATGAAAGCAGTTGAGCGCATAAGAAGTTTTCCTGCCTTTTCAAAGCAATGAGCACATGGTTCTCATTCAGGCTCTTTCTTCGCTGTCTGCAAGCGTGCATAATTAATAACCCCCCCGGGCGCAGCGTGGGGCCGTGCTTATTTATCCGTTCAGCGCTTGCTGGGTGCACAGGCGGCCGGCCGGGGCTGTGCCTGCCTTGCTGCCGCACTCCCGAAGCTCTGCCTTCGCCTCCATCTGCAGCGTGTTCGCAGTTGGTTCGCACCGAGCCGGAGCCAGAGCGGCTGGCGCTGGCAGTGGCAGTGGTGTGGGGGCAGCGCCGCTGGCACGTGTGGAGCAGCACCGTCACTGTCCTGCTACCAACGTCACGGTCGTGTGCATGGGTTTTGGTGTACACCTGCCAGGGAGGGGTGCGTGTGCCACGTGTAACGGTGCTGGGGGGCAACGTGGCTGCCTCACACTGCTGGCAGTGTGCATGGATGGATGGCATGAGTGGGGGCCCCTAGCGCTCCCCCAAATGAGCAGGGTGCAAGTGTGTGCACACAGGTGTGAGAAAGTGCCTGTGCATCTTTGTGTGCCCCTGGGGGGTGCAGGAGGAGTGGGGCTCCGGGGTGTGTGTGCAGGACTGCACGCCTGGGTGTGTGCATACAGGTGTGAGGTATGGGCTCTGGGGGGGGGTGCATGCAGGCATGCAGGTGTGTGTGCAGGCAGATGTGAGATGTGTACGTCCACATGAGGCGTGCGCACACTGGTGTGAGAGGGTATTTGTATGCATTCCCTCTGGTCCAAGAGGTCGGGGTGTGCACCCAGACGCACACAAGAAAGAAGATGTGTGGGCATTTGCACACAGGCGCGGGGTGCTGCGCATGCACACAGACGCAGGTGGGACACACAGGGGTGCACACAGGCACGCAGGGCGTGTGTTCGCGTGAGTATGCACACGGGTGTGGGGGTGCTCATTTGTACGGGGGGCAGGGACGATGCACACTCATGCACACAGGTGTGGGACACGCGTGCACCCAGCTGCAGGGGGCTGCACACCCGTGCGCACAGGTGCGGGACACCCATGCGCACAGGTGCAGGGGGCTGCACACCCATGCGCACAGGTGCAGGGAGCTGCACGCACCCACGCAGGTGTGGGGGGTGCAGACACACGGGTGGGGGCAAACACCCCGCCGGTGCCCTGCCCGCCTGGTGGGGGGGGGCAAGACCCCCCGCGGTTGCCCGCAGCCCGCAGCC